CTATGCACATGTTTGCATGAGGTGGATGTTTGATTGTGTTCTTGTGATGATGTTTGACTTGCTGTGAACCAAGTGTTATTGAAAAAAATGTCCAAAGGTTGGAAAGAGTCGAATCATTGACATTTGTTTCTAAACAGAAAAAACCATAGAATAACAGTGGGCATATCCAGTTTTTGCATCGACTTAAATCAAACCAGACGCACGATGCAAAAAATGTAGTGTGGATGAAGAAGAGACAGTGGCCCTGTTGGATTTTGACAATAGTCGGGCAGGTCAAAAGACAAAACCAGGTCAAATGTGTTATTTGGTAATATTGTTTTTATCATAAATGATGAAATCGAACATGATTTCCAAAGGAACCATGGCCTGAAACTGTTCCACGGGAATTTGATCTTTAAATTTGAAACCAATTTTTGTTTGAATTATGTTTGTGTTTCAGCATCATTTGGAAACATGACAAAATGATACAACGTGTTTGATTTGCTGTGCCCAAAAATTGTCACAAAAAATAATTATACGCCCGTATTTGCATAATTGTCAACTCTGTTCTCGTTGGAAAATTTTAGGCATGGATGTCCATTATTTATTTGGAATTTATTCTAAGTGCGAATGTGTATCCGAAAATAGATTGGACACAGATGCAAACACCACATGTTTTCGTGGCGGAAACTCTTGCACGACGTCCATTCAGCGCCAATTCCCGCCGTTTTTAGCCGGATAGTTAGGAGGAGGGGTTCCGCATTGGTGCTCTTGTGTCACCAACATTGCCACCAAACTGAAGACGGTTGGAGATGGCAAACAGTGTTTTTGTTCCATGTTTGGTACACGGGGTCTAATGGTTATATATATATATTTATGGGAATGTCATGGGATGATTTAATGGAATATTAAATTTAATGGAATCATAATCATAATAGCGGAATTATAATGGGATTATAATGGAATGACAAATATTCATGCCGAAATATTTTGTGTGGTGTGGCAGACATTCTATAGCAAGTGTAACTGTGATCAATCTCCTCTGTTTGGCGTTTGCAATGACATACTGAACAGGCAAAACTAAATTGGTAGAGTTTGTGTCTGCAGTTGTTCAAACAAAGATGCACCATTTGATTGTTCTGTTTTTTTTAATCTTTGTTGCGAACAGATTGAGATGATGATTGTCAAGGAGTTTCCATGTTTTTGTACATGTTTGAAGGGGGCCATTCAATCAATGACATCCCCCATGATCGGTCGCCATCAGATTCAACAGAACGTTGTATTCCCAATGAAGCTCCCAAGTATGTTTCCTTCCCAATTCCATTCCGAATGATAGTGCCAGAACAGCATTCCCAATTCTAGATATGTTCCGAATGATTCCTGATAATATTCATTGATATTCCCAAATATATTCATCAGTACATCTCGACTGATCCTCCCAGCCTTACCATTTGCAGCTGGAGAATTTCCCATGGACCCATAGGGAATCATATCTTTTCGTCCGGTTTTGGGATAGTTCACATGCGGATGTGACATGGGAACCGATGATTTTTGAAAATACGCGTTGCGAATTTAACAGAGCGGAAATCATCATTTTGAATAGGTCATTCATGGTAAATCAGCGAACTAAATGGGCAGTTTTTTAAAAATAACTATGTTGGTTTACCAGAGGATATCCCCACTGATGGATGTTTTCCCATTATATTATATCCCAACGATATAAAATTGTATCCTGTTAAATCACCATCAGAGTGCACCCTCTGGTAATTAAACATGGTTTGCTGGAAAATCCATCATTTATACATTATTTTGCCAGCTATAAACCATTTAGTGCGGGATTTTCCAGCCACGTTTGATCAAACCAGAGGGTGTGTAAACCCAATTTCCACAGTAGAATCCTCCATCTCCCTGGTTAAATCCTCCATTTCCCTGGTTAAATCCTCCATTTCCCTGGTTAAATCCTCCATTTTTCTGGTTAAATCCTCCATTTCCCTGGTTAAATCCTCCATTTCCAAATCCTCCATTTCTGGGTTAAATCCTCCATTTCCCCTCCATTTCCCTGGTTAAATCCTCCATTTTTCTGGTTAAATCCTCCATTTCCCTGGTTAAATCCTCCTGGTTAAATTCTCATTTTTCTGGTTAAATCCTCCATTTCCCTGGTTAAATCCTCCATTTTTCTGGTTAAATCCTCCATTTCCCTGGTTAAATCCTCCATTTCCCTGGTTAAATCCTCCATTTCCATGGTTAAATCCTCCATTTCCCTGGTTAAATCCTCCATTTCCCTGGTTAAATCCTCCATTTCCCTGGTTAAATCCTCCATTTCCCTGGTTAAATCCTCCATTTCCCTGGTTAAATCCTCCATTTCCCTGTTTAAATCCTCCATTTCCCTGGTTAAATCCTCCATTTCCCTGGTTAAATCCTCCTGGTTAAATTCTCCATTTTTCTGGTTAAATCCTCCATTTCCCTGGTTAAATCCTCCATTTTTCTGGTTAAATCCTCCATTTCCCTGGTTAAATCCTCCATTTCCCTGGTTAAATCCTCCATTTCCATAGTTAAATCCTCCATTTCCCTGGTTAAATCCTCCATTTCCATGGTTAAATCCTCCATTTCCATGGTTAAATCCTCCATTTTTCTGGTTAAATCCTCCATTTCCCTGGTTAAATCCTCAATTTTTCTGGTTAAATTCTCAATTTTTCTGGTTAAATCCTCCATTTCCCTGGTTAAATCCTCCATTTTTCTGGTTAAATCCTCCATTTCCCTGGTTAAATCCTCCATTTCCCTGGTTAAATACTCCATTTCCATAGTTAAATCCTCCATTTCCCTCCATTTCCCTGGTTAAATCCTCCATCCATTTAAATCCTCCATTTCCCTGGTTAAATCCTCCATTTTGGTTAAATCCTGGTTAAATCCTCCATTTTTCTGGTTAAATCCTCCATTTCCCTGGTTAAATCCTCCATTTCCCTGGTTAAATCCTCCATTTCCCTGGTTAAATCCTCCATTTCCCTGGTTAAATCCTCCATTTTTCTGGTTAAATCCTCCATTTCCCTGGTTAAATCCTCCATTTCCCCTCCATTTCCCTGGTTAAATCCTCCATTTCCCTGGTTAAATCCTCCATTTCCCTGGTTAAATCCTCCATTTCCCTGGTTAAATCCTCCATTTCCCTGGTTAAATCCTCCATTTCCCTGGTTAAATCCTCCATTTCTGGTTAAATCCTCCATTTCCCTGGTTAAATCCTCCATTTCCCTGGTTAAATCCTCCATTTCCCTGGTTAAATCCTCCATTTCCCTGGTTAAATCCTCCATTTGTCTGGTTAAATCCTCCATTTCCATAGTTAAATCCTCCATTTCCCTGGTTAAATCCTCCATTTCCCTGGTTAAATCCTCCATTTCCCTGGTTAAATCCTCCATTTCCCTGGTTAAATCCTCCATTTGTCTGGTTAAATCCTCCATTTCCATAGTTAAATCCTCCATTTCCCTGGTTAAATCCTCCATTTCCCTGGTTAAATCCTCCATTTCCCTGGTTAAATCCTCCATTTCCCTGGTTAAATCCTCAATTTTTCCCTAGTTGATTCCGAGGCGTGGATCTCGGCGCCTGATGAGGCCAATGGCCTGGGATTTCTCTGGATGGCATTCCATGGCAGTGGGCCATTTGAATTGGAGATTTATGTGGGGATTTATAAGGGTTTTGATGCATCTTGATGGATTTTAATGGGTTTATGTGGATTTATGTAGATTTTGATACATTTTTATAGATTATTTTGGACCTATTGGTTTGTGAACATGCTTTGCAACTGGAATATGTGCCGTGATGTGTGACGCTTTTACAGACCACACCCTAGCTCATCTCCTTAACTGCAGGGGTGGGTAGTGGCCCGCCTGTCCACCTAGTGTTGCACCCGGGTATTGATTCCTGCTCCAACGCATGAGGGATGCATCTTATCCACTAGACCATACCGGCCCTCTACATGCCGAGATGTAAGCAGGCCATCAAAGGTGCCATTCACGGACAAAACGGTTCCAAACTCCAGGTTACCATCCTAGCTTCAGTGGATCTTGATGAAGCCTCTTGCTGATAGAGTGGTTCACTTTGAAGGATAGCAGATGTCAACATGCCCCCTGGCCAGAATCAGAAATCAAACATCAAAACCTGCTTCAAAAGGCTAAGATCTAGCAATCTAGCATTTTTTTTGAAGTGTCTTGCTAGCAATAAAACGCCTGGGAAGATTCGCTCTCAACTTTCTGTCCATTTTCACTCGTTGGACTCGTTGGACATGGGTGAAGAGTTTGGATATCTCCAGTTTTCGATGGATCCAGGTCATTGGTGCCATGGCTTCTTCTGAGCCTGGCTCTGGGCCATGAGGACTGCGACGAATGGCCTGAATGGCCCCAGAGTTTGATAACAACGAAAGATGACATCAAACCAACATGTGGCCCAAACTGGTGAGATAGCAAAAGTCCGAAACTGCTTGATTCGTGGCTCTGGATTTTTGATGATTTTTGACTCATGGCAAAACCACGTCAGTTCTGCCGTAGTCACACCATTTCGCCAACCTTTCTCGGCACTCCGAAGTTCTGGTTCTTTGTCAAGATGTCCGGAAACACTTGGGTTTGGGAGCGTACTAGTCATTTTTTTGCCAAGAAGTGGAAATGAGTGAAGGTATATTTTATATCATTATATATATCCAATAATAAACCATCCCCAAGCCATCACCATTTTTATGGGTGGTATAACCATCCCCAACTGGTAGGTTTATGACATTGGGTGATTCCACATTACTATCCAGCTGTTGCTTGAAGAGTCAGGCCTTGACAGGTTCCTTGGGGAAAATGACTTTTGGAAATCGCCACTTTGTCGATGAGGCTCCCCACATTCCAGCTGCAAGATGTTTGGATATTGTAGATTACTTATGACTTATAGGTATGTCGAGTAACTTTCATATTATCAATTAGATTAGATACATGATAATTTGTAAAATCACATCAATCTTCTTTTTCCTTGTGGATAGAGTATATAATTCATCAGCCAGCCTCACATCTTCGCGACCGCGCGGTGCCTTCCGGATTCGTGGCATGGAGATGAAGACCTTCTACATCAGCTGGGAGGTGGGTTTTGAGGCTGTCAGACATAGAGAATGACTTTCAGCTGTAAGGGTAGAGAGTGTTAAGATATGTTAAGATGCTATGGCTGCTATGGTCGATGGTTGTTTGCCCATATTTCTTGAGAGTTGTTGAGCATTTGCCAGCCCTCCGAGCCCTCCGATGGCTATATTTTCTCCATTATTTCTTGGTTCTATCTCCAACCTTGGCAACGGCAACACCAAATTTGCCGACTTTGAATCGACCAGGATCACCCTTTGATGGGTAGTTGAGTATTGTGATTTTTTGCTTTCAAGGGGGATTTGCACTGACTAGAAATCTAATTTTGTGATTATGTCTTGCTGATGTTATTTTTTTCCTCCACTGTCAAGTTGAATCTGAGACTGAGTCGTCAACAATGATGAAGGGTGCGCCAAATGAACCTGAACCTACTTTTTCCCATAACATATTAACATTGATCTCGGGTTTTCATGCTTAACTATGCTAAAATCACTTTTAAAAAGTCATGTTTTTATGGTTCTTACTTGGCTGTTCTCATCATTAGCAATTTTTAACTTCTCACTTACGCACGTGAAGCTGCCGCGATCCTCTAGGAAGATGGCCTCAAGAGTTTTGAGTTGTGCCATGGCCAGGGCAGTGACTTGAGATCTGTTGGGTTTCAATTGAAATGGTTCCTAGAAATTATCAACTAATACCTGCCCCCTAATATGAATGAAGTAACACCAAACAAAGCCCTTGTGACTTTTGGATATTTTGCCATTTTTTGGCTGTTCGTTGGGTAACATGACCACCAAGGGGTGGGATTCATTGGTTATTTTCATGGGTTTTGCCGATTTTTTTGGGATCGCCCCTATATTTTTTTGGACCAAGAACCTAAACATGGAATTTGTTCTATCCAGTTTATGTTCCCATTTTCTGCCATTATATCCCTAAAAACCTTCAATGTATCTCCATGTTGGGGTGGTGTGCTACCCCGCCCTCTAAACAAACTTGCACCATGTAGATGATTTTACCATTGACGAAAAACCCATCAATGGATGATTTACTGCCATGAAATTGAACTCTAGCCATCAAAAACATGATTTTACCATCAAGAAACATGATCTCAAATCTTACCATCAATTGACATGATCTTACCATCAAAAACGTGGTGCTCTCATCAAAAACCTGGGTTTTCCTATCAAACCCTGTTTTTTTCCATTTTTGCCTACCCTTTTCGAGCCTCACTTGGACCCCCCAACTCCTCAGGTCCGTCCCTAGCGCTGCGCCAGCGTCCGACCTGAGCTGCTGTGTGAGGTGCACCCGGAGAAACCAACTATTCATGTGGGGCTTTCCATAAATGGGTACCCCAATAGCTGGATGGTTTATAAATGTTTATAAGGGAAACTCCAATCTAAAAATGGATGATTTGGGGGTAGCCCATTTATGGACATCCCCATTTATCTATTTATCTGTTTATCGATGTATACACATGACTACATGCACTGAAGTATGGGTACATATCTATATACGTTGCATCTCATTTTGCTTGGAATTGGATTGGTTTACGGTATTGGATGAAACTCATGGACTTTCAATCGCGAATTTCCCCTCAGCCATGTCTTTTTTCTACTTGATGCCTCAGATTTGTAACCCATTTAGTAAGTGGTTTAGGACTTATAATACCAATGCATATTCCATATAGAAATGAGTTCAGATATGGTTATCACTAGCTACTTACTATCTGGGATGCACCCTCAAGTGTTCCCCATTTTTGCCATGCTGCGTTGTGTTCTCTGATTCGCGAGTTATGACTCGGCTTTGTCCGGAAATGGGGATTACCCCAAACATATGGGGACATATGAGTTTGTCTCAAAAGAGGGAATACCCTAAGATTTCCATTTTGGTGGTGAACATGATGATGAAACTGTGGGGGGGCTCAGGATTTTGAGAAATACCCAGCCATTAAAATGATGAAACTTACAACATCATCCACGCGACTCAGCAATTTTCAAACAAACCATTCGATTTTTCTGAAAGATCCCTGACATTTCTGCAAGCGGCATTTCTATTTAATTTCCCACCTTCAGCGGCACAATAAGCACTTCGCAGGGATCGGCTTGGTCTGAAAGCCACAGATCCCTTCTACACAACTTGGGAAAAGGTGCCTGGGATCCATGGTGTGTTTTTAAGAGGGCCATTGGTTTTTGATGACTGACATCAACACTTTGTGAATGAATATATAATATACTCGATAAAAGCGTGTGAGTAGGCAACAATTGGATATTCGACTCGAGATTTTGTTGGTCAGGATCCGGAGAGTTTGATCATATTCCCGAATTCTGTTTATTTCCACCATTTTTGTCCAAGCAGCACAGCAAATTCACAAACTTTTTCAGACCTTGATCCAGCGCAAAATTTGACGAGGGATGCTGGAGAATTCACCATTTGCTGTGAAATAAATCTATCATTCCACTATACTGGTTGGTTTATAGAGGTTCCCCTATTGGGTTATCATAATGTATTATAAATCCCCAATATATCATCAACCCAGCTAATATATTATACTAGTATATATACTAACCAATATGATGATATATTGGGGATTGATTATATCCAATAATATTATAATCCCCAATATATAATACTAGTATAATCCTCCAACTAATCGACCAACAGGGGTGGATCGCAGCCCAGCGCAGGGAGACCATGTGGCAGCTGTGCCGCTATCTGCCAGCCTGCCAGACAGCAGTTCGGGAGGATCCACCATTAAAAATGATGATTTAAGCATGAAAAAGGGAGATTTAACCAAGAAAAACCGTGGTATATTATAGAATATTATAGTATACTGGGTTTTTGTCATGAGATACACCGGGTACAAGATGAGAATTTCATCACGACCTCTGTGACGGCGACGACGTAAACGACTCCGTCTCCCATCGCATCACCTAAATCAATGTGCAGCGAGATTTAACCAGAAACAAAAGAAAGTGTCATGGCATTTTCTTAGAGTTTTGTATATATATATATTATTATGTAATTTATGTATATTGTTTAAATGTAGCAGTCCCATTTTTGAGCAACTTTATATAGTTAAACAGCATTCATTTATGAATCTCGGAACACGTCACACGGGCTTTTCGGCGACGTTGGCTCCCGCAGGATGCGTCCCATCTGCGCTTGGTGCTACCTTTGGGCCGGTCGAGGGAAGAGAGGTGGGAAGTGAGCGCCGCACGCGAAACAGTCCTGGGGTGGTTAACTACCATGGTTTGTGGTAGTTGTAACGTATTCTTGGTTTTTTTAAACCAACTTATAACTTGGGGGCGTATGATTTACTAGGTGGTAGTGGTTAGTAGGGCTCCCAAGTGGGAGGAATCGATCTCACTTGCTAACCCCATCTAACATGCCCGGCATATCACCATTTTGTTCGACCTTCCGTTTCGTTTGGTGAAACCTTCATTTTGGGTACTCGGCCCGTTTATTTTTTGTGAGGTATTCATTTGTTAATTCCCCATCAGCAAAACTTTGCTATGGGGTCTTTAGCCCAGATTAGCTCCGGTGCGATCCGATGCAGCTTCAACACAAGGTTCCTGACAAGGTTCCGGAGGGTTCTAGTGCAGATACCTCATGAGGTTCCGGAGGGTTCCGGTGCAGATACCTTGTGAGGTTTCGGAAGGTTCCTGTGAAGATACCTGCTGAGGCTCCGGAGGGCTCTGTGCTGTTCCGGAGGGTTCCGGTGCAGATACCTTGTGAGGTTTCGGGGGGTCCGGAAGATACGAAACTATATAATACTATTGTTGAAGTCCCAGCAAGGCTGAACTTGAAGTAGTTGGTAACTGTGCTGCCTAGATTTTAGGCCGCAGCTGGCGCCAAGAAACGGCCTCAAGGCAAGCCTCGAGGCTTCAAGGTTATGGAAATTGCAGCAAAACACAGCAAAACAAAAAGTTTATACGATGCAACAAAGTTGGAGGCAGGCCTCAATGCAAGTCTCGAACTCCAGTGTCGGGAGACCATGGAAATTAGAACAAAACACCTCGGGGCAGGCTTCGAGGCAGGCCTTGAGGGCCTCAAGGCTATGGAAATTGAAGCAAAACAATATGACAAAGGAGGGCTCTGCGCAGTTCCGGACGGTTCCGGTGCAGATACCTTGTGCGGCCTCGGAGGGTTCCGGTGAAGATACCTGCTGAGGCTCTGGAGGGCTCTGTGAGGTTCCGGAGGGTTTTGGCGGAGAAGATGCTTGGTGAGGTTCCGGAGGGTTCCGGTGCAGATTCCTTGTGAGGTTCCGGAGGGTTCTGGTGCAGATGCTTTGTGAAATTCCAAAGGGTTCCTATTTTTTTAAAAAATGGCATAAACACTTAATTTTTGTGGCATACGTGCTTAATTTTTATGGCACAAGCGGCGCTTAAGTTTTATGGCATAAGCACTTTTTATATCTTTTTATGGCAAAAAAGCAGGAGCTTTCAAGCCGTTGGGGATAGCACCTGAGTCTATTCTTTTATGTATTTTTAGTAGCATTGTTTCTTCTGTGCGGTGATGATGCACAGAATGCGAAATGATTCTGGCGGGAAGGTGGGAACAAAGGATGAATCATTTCCATTGCATCAAATAAAGTTTCCAACACTCACCATGTTCGGCATCTATGAATACATACATAATATATATATATATGTAATTATGTGTATATATATATATAATATAATATATATATACATACAAATATGCAGATCTTATCCTGGGTTTGTCTGGAAATCACCCCAAAATTTAGTGGTGAATCATCATTTTCGAACAACATATCCCCGGATATACAAGCAAATTTCAGGTCCCAAATTTCAGGTGGGTTCTATCCCATAGTGCTATCGCCATTAAATTTCCCCATCATATTCTTATTTTGTATATATATTTAGCTGTCCAGGCCTCCTGCTTTCCCTCGGGAAGCAGACCGTCCGGAGCCTCCTTCCGCTCAACGGCAACGGGAGCGTCCCGCGGTGCTGCTGGACCCATCGGAGCCGCCAGGTGGAAAACATCCCCAATCTCCAAGAAACGGGGACCGAGAATGATGCAGATGAATGGGACATTCCATCATTTGCAAGCTGTGGCAACAGAATACTATTTCCAGAAGGGGACTTGAAATAAAGAAACTAAAGATTTTGAACCCCGGAGTCCTGTTCATGCAGTCTTTGCGGCCTAAAATTATTTTTTTTGTTTGTGAAGATTTTGGTTTGCAGCATTTTCTATGATTTGGATGGGTAAACCTCCAGAGTTCTGGATGGTTTGACCCATCCTTGTTGGTTCACAACGACCCCAGTTGGCTTCTCCAATTCCAAGGCTTTTCCTGAAGTTTCCATCACTGTGTAGAAACCAAAATCCTCATTGAACCTGCTACAATTTTCCAGCATTGTTTGATTGTTCAAGATTTCTTTTAGTTGTTACAACAGAGATATTTTTGGTGAGTTTCTTGAGTTAAACATCCACACTGGTTGGTAAGCATCCACGAATCCACCACCCCTGGTTGGTTTCCTCCTAATCATCTCAAGTGTATGTTTTTTTTTTTCAATATTCCATTTTCTTTTTTAAACATATTCTGGTTGGGAAACTTTCCCTACATCCTCAAACACATCGTTTAGGGCTTGTTCATCATCTTTTGGAGCTGCTCCACACATTGACACCCAATGTTTGCTTGAAAAAAAATCCCTAGTCTTTTTCTTTTTGAAATACCACATCTTTACCAGGACCAATATTTCCGATAAACCAAACCTTATTGGATCAATCATGGAAAATATCTTTTCAAGTTCGAAGTTTTCTCGCATAAATACACCAGAAGGTCAAATTATCCATGGTTCCGACTTAAACCGAACTTTATTGGATAGATCATCCAGTTCGATTTACTGTAAGTGGTGAAATACCCATTTAAGGTTTAGCCATCTAAGTTTTACTCTTCAAGATAATGCAGTAACCCCAAGATGTAGAAAAGTATAATTCCACTAAAACAATGGCAAATTCAGCCTATTCTGTCTATCTGAGTCCATCGTTTTGTATTTTTTTCCTCAAGGCTAACAATAAATCCCTAAGTTTTTCTTGGCTTTGGCCGCCTATCTTTGCCACTTTTCTCGTTGGGTTTGTCTGGAAATTATGGGAAAGCCCCGAACTCCCACAGTGCATCATATTTTTTTCCATTAAGAAATAGTAATTTCGAGAAAGGTATACCGAATTTTTGGACCACCCCACAATAATCCATCTCATACTACTGCTTCATCGCATCAATGACCTCTCAAAAAATATCACCACTCTTCAGTAAAACCTGGTAAAACCTGGTAAAACCGGGTAAAACATCCGGGTTTTCCACGGGTTTTCCACGGGTTTTCCACAGGTTTTCCCGGGTTTTCACCCGGTTTTCACCGGGTTTCGCCAGGCGACGCCGCGGCGGATCCCAAGGCGCTGGCCACAGACCTGGCCAACGAGCGCACGCTGCTGGCCTGGCTGCGCACGGGGCTGGCGGCCATTCGGAAGCTGGGACCTGGGATGCCAGGGGACATGATATATAGTTAGCAAGGGCCTGTCTTATCTTTTTCCCTGACCCCCCCACATATATACAACCAAATTGTATATGTGTATATTACTATATTCTATATATTGTATATATATATATTACTATATTCTATATACTATATATTAATATTGTATATATATATATTACTATATTCTATATACTATATATTAATTATATTAATATTATATATATATACATATGTAAATTACTATATTCTACATATTGTATATGTGTATATTACTATATTCTATCTATTATGTATAATATATATATATATACAGAAATGTACGCTGTCAGGTCCCCGTTTTGCCACGTTTCTGGAAATGCAGTGTTTTTGCTACATCATGTTCAATCCTTTATGTTCATATACCTGTGATGGTATTGCTAGAGATCCACACAGATTGTCAGACTTCCTCAGAGGTTGCCAAAGAATGTCCAGAGAGTCATGAAGATTCCCCGGGAAAAGGAAGGAGGAAAAACAAACATAGTGTGTGTATATATATATATGGCTTCCCTTAGAGGGAGAGGTGGCCAAGGAAAACACTTTTTTTTTTTTTTTTTCTGGCTTATCCCCTCTCATAGCCCTCTTATCCCCTCTTATGCAAATTACTATATTCTATCTATTATGTATAATATATATATATAAATACATATATATATATTACTATATTCTATCTATTATGTATATATATGTATATTACTATATTCTATATACTATAAATTAATATATTATATATATACATGTATATTACTATATTCTATCTATTATGTATATAATATATATATGTATATTACTACATTCTATATACTATATGTTAATATATTATATATATATGTATATTACTATATTCTATCTATTATGTATATATATGTATATTACTATATTCTATATACTATATATTAATATTATATATATATGTATTTTACTATATTCTATCTATTATGTATATATATATGTTTATATTACTATATTATATATACTATATATTAATATATTATATATATGTATATTACTATATTGCATCTATTATGTATATATATATATATCTTACTATATTCTATATACTATATATTAATTATATATAATTTTTAAATGTATATTACTATATTTTATCTATTATGTATATATATATATTACTACATTCTATATACTATATATTAGTATCATATATATATGTATGTATATTACTATATTCTATCTATTATGTATATATATATATGTATATTATCACTATATTCTATATACTATATATAAATATTATATATATATATGTATATCACTACATTCTATCTATTATGTATATATATATCTATATGTATATTACTATATTCTATCTATTATGTATATGTATATATCTATGTATATTACTATATTCTATATACTATATATTAATAAATGTATATGTATATGTATATTACTATATTCTATCTACTATGTATATATATATATGTATTACTATATTCTATATTCTATATATGAATATATTATGTATATATATGTATATTAATATATTATGTATATATATATGTATATTACTATATTCTATATACTATATATTAATATATTATATATATATGTATATCACTATATTCAATATACTATATATTAATATTATATATATATGTATATTACTATATTCTATCTATTATGTATATATATATATGTATATTGCTATATTATATTTTATATATCAATATAGTGTATATATATGTATATTACTATATTCTATTTATTATGTATATATATTTATGTATACTACTATTCTATATACGATATATTAATATAGCATATATATGTATATTACTATATTCTATCTATTATATATATACGTATATTACTATATTCTATATATTGTATATATTAATATTATATATGTATGTATATTACTATATTCTATCTATTATGTATATATATATATGTATATTACTGTATTCTAAATGTATATTACAATATTCTACATATTGTATGCATGTATATTAGTATATTCTACATGTTGTATATGTGTATACAACTATATTCTACATATCGTATATGTGTATATTACTATAGTCTACATATTGTCAATGTGTATATTACTATATTCTACATATTGTATATGTGTATATTACTATATTCTATATATAATATATTAAATTATATATACTAAATTATCAACATATTCTAAATGTATATTACTATATTCTACATATAATATATTGAATTATATATACTATATTACTATATTCTAAATGTATATTACTATATTCTACATATTGTATATGTGTATATTACTATATTCTACATAATGTATATGTGTATATTACTATATTCTACATAGTGTATATGTGTATATTACTATAGTGTATATATCGTATATGTGTATTACTATATTCCTCATATTGTATATGTGTATATTACTATATTCGACATATTGTATATGTGTATATTACTATATTCGACATATTGTATATGTGTATATTACTATATTGTATATATTGTATATGTGTATATTACTATATTCTACATATTGTATATGTGTATATTACTATATTCTAAATATTGTATATGTGTAAATTACTATATTCTACATATTGTACATGTGTAAATTACTATATTCTATATATTGTATATGTGTATATTACTATATTGTATATATTGTATATGTGTATATTACTATATTCTATATATAGTATATATGTATATTACTATATTCTATATATTGTATATGTGTATATTACTATATTCTACATATATATATATTAATATATTATATATATGTATATTACTATAGTCTATATATTATGTATTAATAGTATATGTATATATATATATATGTATATTACTATTTTCTATATATTATATGTATATTTTTTATATAAACGTCTATTACTATATTCTATATATTATATATTAATATATTATATATATATATGTAAATTACTATATTATAATTATTTCATATTACTATATTATATTTATTATATATTCACATATTATATATATATGTATACTACTATATATTATATATATATATTTTATATTAATAATAAGTATATATATATATGTATATTGCTCATTATATATATATTATATTAATACATTATATACATATGTATATGAATATATATAAATTATATTATATTCTATATATGTGTGTATATATATAAATAATATTATATTATTTTGGGGTTTCCATAAATGGGGATCTTCAAAAATGTTTGGTATATAAGGGAAAATCCCAGCTATACATTGATGATTTGAGAGTATACCCATGATTTGAAGATATGAACTAAGCCAGCCAATAAATCATAACTAGAGTGGGAACATGTTTGAAAATCAAGATTCTATCTACTTCAGGATGGTGTATATATATATATATGTATGATTTCTACATGGTGTATATGTATATGGTGTATGTATGTATATATATATGTAGATGGTACCCCCGGTACCACTCAATAAAAATTCCAGCAACATTTGGAAATTGTCAGTAACTGTATCTTTAGTTGAAGTACGACATATCTATCTATCTATTTATCTATCTATCTATCTTTCTATCTATACCATGTATACATATGTGACTTTTGCAGGATAAACATAAAGAACGACTTGCTGCGTATTCCTGCAACGCCACTGGCAGCCTAATGGTTTGATTGGGCTTCAAAAACCGAGCAACAAACAGGAATCTTTCACCAACAAAGATGAGGGTTGAACCCAACAACAGGGTTCAACCAGAGATTTCATGGGAGATTTCATGTTTTTTTTTGGGCCACATCACTGGGTGTTTGCTGATTTGCAAGGAGCTGGTCATTTTTTTGGGCCACATCACTGGCCTGGGGATCAACAAAATCACCGAGAATCATGAGGAATTTGTCTGCCCTGTAATATTTTTCACACCCCTGTTGAAAGCCTGGTTTAGTATTGGATCTATTCGTTTTCGGCTTGCTTTCTGGGGGTATCTAATACTACGTACTTACTACGTAATATTGGGATGGGATTATCTCAAAGACTTGGGGCCCAAGTGATGCAAAGGGCCAAGCACTCTTTCTTGCTGAGGACAGTCTTTTCCTTTGCCACTCTATCAGGTCTCACAGCAGGCGGGAGACATCACCAAGGTAGTAATGGCATGGATCAAAGCTCAAGACTCCGGGGGACCACCCTTTGAAATCAGCCGTGGGCCGTGGGGAGCCAACAATTGTGGGATGCAAGCTACCTAATTATATAATACAATTGACATAACTTAACGGAAGCAACACTCATTGGAATATAGTCCACAATAGTTGGGATATGGCTACAACTACCAAGTAAACCATGGTGGTTGTCACTCTCAGGCATACCGGGCAATGTACGCATGTCTGAGCTGTCTAATGGGTGAGCCTTTCCCAAAGGCCAGTGGTTCCCCAGTGACAGGTGAACTTGCCGTGGATGTTGGCGTGACTCTGGTGCTGTCCTTTTCGGGCTTAGCCACTCTCTTATTAGGTCGCTCGGCCGCCTCTCGGGATTTCATGGGGCTTCTTTTCTGAAGTGCTGCCTGGCGGCTGAGGAGCCACAATCTTTTCAGCACAATAATTTTTGGGCCAAAAAGGCATTCGCTCGGTACAGCCCGCCTCAGTAAGTCACTGGCCGAAGTTCTGTTTTGGGGACCCAAATATCCAACAAATTCCCAGATTTCGGATGGACATTTGAGCAGTAACTAATACCAAGTGGTTAGTTCTCTTGGGGGTTGCTAACCCGCCTGGATGATTCTCTCCCATTTCTCATTCATCCCGCTTTTAACTAAATTCAGGTTGGAAGCGCTTCTTGGCTGTCCGCAACGGCTGCCCAGGACGCCAAAGAGCTAGTTGATGCTTGGGTCGTTAACTTCGGAGGGTTAGAATCCGAAGACATGTTTTCCAGGTTTTTCTTTCGGAGAAGCGCCAGAAATTTGGGTTGCAATTTCATCTACAGAATCCAAAAGCTGTGCTGCCGAAAGTTGAACTTCCGGGCTTCCATCTCGTTCCCATGAGTCGGGATGCCGCAGGACGACGTATCGCCATTGGGCCACTGTATTCGGCTTTCTTGGTTGTGTCTTGGAGCATATGGCATGCGATTGCAATTTCACCCTTATCCAACATGCTGACATGCGTAAAACTCTGCGTTTTCATCCAGGGATAGACTTTCGCATTTTTTTTTGCCTTGGGAATGAAGCACAGAGCTGCAACATTCCTTTTTTCCATCACCCTCTTCGGAATACGATCAGAGCACAATGCCTGCCAAGAGTTTGTTGGCCGAAGCAATGTGTCCATTGGTTTTCATGGCCACACAAGGCTGCCAATATGATATGTATATATCATTTATGTATAAACATATACACTACACTACACATATATATATACATACAGACAGACAGAAAGACATTACATTACATTACATTACATTACATTACAGACAGACATACAGACAAACATACAGACAGACATACCATACCATACCATACCATAACATAACATACATACCATACCATACCATACCATACCATACAATACCATACCATACCATACCATACCATACCATACATACCATACCATACATACATACATACATACATACATACATACCATACCATACCATACCATACCATACCATACCATACCATACCATACCATACCATACCATACCATACCATACCATACCATACCATACCATACCATACATACATACATACATACATACATACATACATACATACATACTACATACACATACATACACATACATACATACATACATACATACATACATACATACACATACATACATACATACATACATACATACATACATACATACATACATACATACATACATACATACATACATACATACATACATACATACATACATACATACATACATACATACATACATACATACATACATACATACATACATACCATACATACATACATACATACATACATACCATACATACATACTATACATACATACCATACATACATACCATACATACATACCATACATACATACCATACATACATACCATACATACATACCATACATACATACCATACATACATACCATAAATACATACATACATACATACATACCATACATACATACCATACATACATACCATACATACATACCATACATACATACCATACATACATACATACCATGCATACATACCATGCATACCATGCATACCATGCATACCATGCATGCAATGCATGCATGCATACATGCATGCATGCATGCATACATACATACAGACATACAGACATACAGACATACAGACATACAGACATACATACATACCTACATACCTATATACCTACATACCTACATACCTACATACATACATACATACAAACATGCATACAAACATACATACATACATACATACATACAATCACATACATACATACATACACATACATACACATACATACATACATACAGACATGCATACAGACATGCATGCATGCATGCATACATACATAAAGACATGCATACAGACATGCATGCATGCATGCATACATACATACATACAGACATGCATACAGACATGCATGCATGCATGCATGCATACATACATACATACATACAGACATGCATACAGACATGCATGCATGCATGCATACATACATACATACAGACATGCATACAGACATGCATGCATGCATGCATGCATGCATACATACATACATACAGACATGCATACAGACATGCATGCATGCATGCATGCATACATACAGACATGCATACAGACATGCATGCATGCATACATACATACATACACACATACATACATACATACATACAGACATACATACAGACATGCATACAGACATGCATGCATGCATACATACATACATACAGACATGCATACAGACATGCATGCATGCATGCATGCATGCATGCATACGTACGTACATACATACATGCCATACATACATACATACATACAGACATGCATACAGACATGCATGCATGCATACATACATACATACAGACATGCATACAGACATGCATGCATGCATGCATACATACGTACGTACATACATGCATACAGACATGCATGCATGCATGCATGCATGCATACATACGTACGTACGTACATACATACATGCCATACATACATACATACATACATACAGACATGCATACAGACGTGCATGCATGCATACATACATACATACATACAGACATGCATACAGACATGCATGCATGCATGCATGCATGCATACATACATACGTACGTACATACATACATGCCATACATACATACATACACGTGTATTTAGATGTATATAGACATGGGTTTGAGGCCCTGAAGGATCCGCTTTCACTTGATCTATCCCGATTTGGTGGATAGGTATCACTACTCGGCATATGGACCCATGTCACAATGTCTAGGAAAATCTAAAGCATCTTGTGCAAATAAACAAACTGACAGAAGCTACATCCAAACAAAATCCTAACCTTGGGGCTTTACACATGGATCCAAAGATATACTATAAAATGTTGGGATTGCGTTCGATGAAACAAGAACACTCAGGATGGAAACCTCTTGGTGCTTTTGTTGGGGCAGTCGGGATTCCGTCTGGATGACGGCACACCTCACTTGCCTTCACTGGTGTACGTTGTTCCCCGCTGCAGGTTGCTGCTATCTGCTTGCTGGGTTCTCTCTGGCGCCAGCCAAAACGGCTGAATCACCCGCCCATGCCTTTGCCAGGGGTTTCTTGGTGGCAACCATGGGGATGGTTCCTGGGTAAACCCACATCACCTGTGTCTGAAATGGGGACCACCAAAATATACACTGCATTTGGGGGCACTGTACCCTATTTTCAGAGGTGGATTACCCACATGTTGAAAGGTGCATTGAACTTCGTTACTGACTCGGTACAATGCCAGTCCACTACCAGGAGTGCAGTGCACCTATCAAGTAGATAGAGGGGTGTTAGGCATTTTCAACTGCCATGAGCTTCATCCACCCTAGAAACCAATAAACAGCAAGAACCATCAACAAACGTCAATAAATACGGATGAATCTCATTTAGATAACATCAGCAAAGATCTATGAACATCCATAAACATTCATAAAGGTCATCCACCCACCATCCATCCGTCCATCCGTCCATCCGTCCATCCATCCATGCATCCATCAATCCAGCGCTTGTGGATACTTGTAGTCCTCAGGTGGAAGAAAGTCTCATCACCTGGAGTATTCAGTGAGAGCTTGCCATCCACAAGGGATCAGGACCGTGTTGGTGGAAGAACCAGCTGAAAGATCTGATATTTCAGGTGGATTTAAAAGAATCCACGTTCGATTTGGAAGGATTCACGTTTGAGCCCAAGTTTGGGAGCCGAGAAAAAAGGGGAGAGTTTCTCAGCCGTCGCGATTTTTGGACAGCAAGGTTACACAGAACACAAAGATGGGGCGGCTGGTTGCAACTTTTTGTGCATGTTTATCTGCTCATGTTGAAAGCTCAGATTCAATTTTCCTGAAGCATAGCGCGAAGGGACGCGTTGCCATGGTGCAGACCGGAAAATGTGTGGCCCTTGCGGCGGGCTCGGCAGCAACCATGGCTTTGATGGGTGCACCAGCCTTCACTTCAGCTCCAAACACGGTCAGTGAGAGCCATGTTCCAGTGCGCACTTACGGTGCGGCCCAAAGCCAGGGACACTCTTCCATGGGTGTGTCAGCCACTGCTGCGGCTGCAGGCATCATTGCACTTGGTGCAGCTGGACGCCGCTCTCAGAAGGTTGCACGGGCAGGTGTTCTCACAAAGGATGATCAGGGTCGCTTCCGCTTTGATGCCCCAGAACCACCTCTTGTGCTTGAAGAGCAGCCTGGTGTCACCCGCCCCTTGAACTTCTTTGATCCGTTGGGGTTTAGCAAGGGTGGTTTGATGACCTTCCCTGGCGATCCTACTGGCTTCAAGCATTTGCGAGCTGCGGAGATTAAGCACGGCCGCTTTGCCATGATGGCAGCCACAGGATCCCTTTTCGCACACTATGTGAAGTTTCCCGGCTTTGAGGATGTGCCAACTGGCTTGGCAGCCTTGAGCACCGACAAGGGCCTTGAAGGCTTCTCCTTGATCATGTTCTTGATTGCCGGTCACGAGGCTGTCACTTGGAAGCCAGCGAAGGACCCTGGAAGCTTCGGTGATCCATTCCAGTGGAAGCAGCTTGGAACCGAGATGCGAACGAAGGACTTCTTCAGGGTATCACTATGTATAGCTCATCTTGTGTTCAGATCTAAAGTCTCAAGTAAGCAGTTGAGTCTCAGACAGTCACGATTGCATTCTGTGAATTATGCGCTCTCTGTTTAAATTACCGACATGCTTTGAGTCTTGTCAGGAGATTAACAACGGGCGCATTGCGATGTTTGCCATCATGGGCCAGATCGTTGCTGAACTCCAGACTGGGAAGGGTCCGGTGGAGCAGTTCATGGGCTGAGAAGCACTGAAGAGTAATTCGTGCATTTCTTGATTTTCCCAGAATGTTCCTCAAGAGGCACCATGCATCCTGTTGCATTGACCAGTGTACTCTTTCTACACTTTATGTTGTCGGATTGCATATGTTCATGTGAAGGGACGGGCAAAGAATTTTTGCCTTCCAGATTCCAGATGGCAAGAAGACATGTGAATGTGAGGACAAAAAATGGGAGAATGCAGACATTTGGAGCAATATCGGTTTTATGAATGCTCGGCATGCGGTGGGAGCCAAGATTTTGCCACATCTTTCCTAAACGTCTTCCATTTGCCCTGGTTGCAACTTTTTGTGCATGTTTATCTGCTCATGTTGAAAGCTAAGATTTAATTTTTCCTGAAGCATAGCGCGAAGGGACGCGTTGCCATGGTGCAGACCGGAAAATGTGTGGCCCTTGCGGCGGGCTCGGCAGCAACCATGGCTTTGATGGGTGCACCAGCCTTCACTTCAGCTCCAAACACGGTCAGTGAGAGCCATGTTCCAGTGCGCACTTACGGTGCGGCCCAAAGCCAGGGACACTCTTCCATGGGTGTGTCAGCCACTGCTGCGGCTGCAGGCATCATTGCACTTGGTGCAGCTGGACGCCGCTCTCAGAAGGTTGCACGGGCAGGTGTTCTCACAAAGGATGATCAGGGTCGCTTCCGCTTTGATGCCCCAGAACCACCTCTTGTGCTTGAAGAGCAGCCTGGTGTCACCCGCCCCTTGAACTTCTTTGATCCGTTGGGGTTTAGCAAGGGTGGTTTGATGACCTTCCCTGGCGATTCTACTGGCTTCAAGCATTTGCGAGCTGCGGAGATTAAGCACGGCCGCTTTGCCATGATGGCAGCCACAGGATCCCTTTTCGCACACTATGTGAAGTTTCCCGGCTTTGAGGATGTGCCAACTGGCTTGGCAGCCTTGAGCACCGACAAGGGCCTTGAAGGCTTCTCCTTGATCATGTTCTTGATTGCCGGTCACGAGGCTGTCACTTGGAAGCCAGCGAAGGACCCTGGAAGCTTCGGTGATCCATTCCAGTGGAAGCAGCTTGGAACCGAGATGCGAACGAAGGACTTCTTCCGGGTATCACTATGTATAGCTCATCTTGTGTTCAGATCTAAAGTCTCAAGTAAGCAGTTGAGTCTCAGACAGTCACGATTGCATTCTGTGAATTATGCGCTCTCTGTTTAAATTACCGACATGTTTTGAGTCTTGTCAGGAGATTAACAACGGGCGCATTGCGATGTTTGCCATCATGGGCCAGATCGTTGCTGAACTCCAGACTGGGAAGGGTCCGGTGGAGCAGTTCATGGGCTGAGAAGCACTGAAGAGTAATTCGTGCATTTCTTGATTTTCCCAGAATGTTCCTCAAGAGGCACCATGCATCCTGTTGCATTGACCAGTGTACTCTTTCTACACTTTATGTTGTCGGATTGCATATGTTCATGTGAAGGGACGGGCAAAGAATTTTTGCCTTCCAGATTCCAGATGGCAAGAAGACATGTGAATGTGAGGACAAAAAATGGGAGAATGCAGACATTTGGAGCAATATCGGTTTTATGAATGCTCGGCATGCGGTGGGAGCCAAGATTTTGCCACATCTTTCCTAAACGTCTTCCATTTGCCCTGGTTGCAACTTTTTGTGCATGTTTATCTGCTCATGTTGAAAACTAAGATTTAATTTTTCCTGAAGCATAGCGCGAAGGGACGCGTTGCCATGGTGCAGACCGGAAAATGTGTGGCCCTTGCGGCGGGCTCGGCAGCAACCATGGCTTTGATGGGTGCACCAGCCTTCACTTCAGCTCCAAACACGGTCAGTGAGAGCCATGTTCCAGTGCGCACTTACGGTGCGGCCCAAAGCCAGGGACACTCTTCCATGGGTGTGTCAGCCACTGCTGCGGCTGCAGGCATCATTGCACTTGGTGCAGCTGGACGCCGCTCTCAGAAGGTTGCACGGGCAGGTGTTCTCACAAAGGATGATCAGGGTCGCTTCCGCTTTGATGCCCCAGAACCACCTCTTGTGCTTGAAGAGCAGCCTGGTGTCACCCGCCCCTTGAACTTCTTTGATCCGTTGGGGTTTAGCAAGGGTGGTTTGATGACCTTCCCTGGCGATCCTACTGGCTTCAAGCATTTGCGAGCTGCGGAGATTAAGCACGGCCGCTTTGCCATGATGGCAGCCACAGGATCCCTTTTCGCACACTATGTGAAGTTTCCCGGCTTTGAGGATGTGCCAACTGGCTTGGCAGCCTTGAGCACCGACAAGGGCCTTGAAGGCTTCTCCTTGATCATGTTCTTGATTGCCGGTCACGAGGCTGTCACTTGGAAGCCAGCGAAGGACCCTGGAAGCTTCGGTGATCCATTCCAGTGGAAGCAGCTTGGAACCGAGATGCGAACGAAGGACTTCTTCCGGGTATCACTATATATGTATAGCTCATCTTGTGTTCAGATCTAAAGTCTCAAGTAAGCAGTTGAGTCTCAGACAGTCATGATTGCATCCTGTGAATTATGCGCTCTCTGTTTAAATTACCGACATGCTTTGAGTCTTGTCAGGAGATTAACAACGGGCGCATTGCGATGTTTGCTATCATGGGCCAGATCGTTGCTGAACTCCAGACTGGGAAGGGTCCGGTGGAGCAGTTCATGGGCTGAGTTGTACAGCAAGTTTTGCCGTGACTTGCCGTCCGCGCAATGCTGAAAATGGATCTGTTGGCGTCCCGCAGGGGGACTTTTTTCATGTTGGGATTTGGGTGACCTGAGCCTTGAATAAAGGTTTGGAGAGAAACTTTTAGCTGTTTCAGGCGGATATATTTTGTTTTGATAGAAAAAGATCCTTGCGCTTCAAGAAATGGTTTGTTTCAATCCATCCTTCCTCAAGATTGTTTCATTGTTTGTGGTGGGTCTTGAATTCCAAAGCAATCTCAACCGATATGGAGCCATGAAGGGACGTGCATCAGAATTTTGAGTGGGTAAGAAGCATAGGAAATAAGCCAGCCATATTGATATACCAATTTAATATAACGCATTTATTTATTTATTTATATAATCTATTTGTTTGTTTATTGTTTTTTTTTTTCTGTATATATTATATATAATTACGTATGTATCTGTATATATATATTATACATATTCATATACATATATTATATATATACATGATATACATATATGCACTGTAATCGGAAACAGATGGAAAAGTAATTGATCACTATTTCAGTAGGATTTTACGAACTTCGGCGCGCTACGGCCTCTGAAGCATTTCCAGGAGCAGGGCGTGGCCTGGGAGTCTCAGCGTGGCCTGGGTAACTGGAGGGACTCTGGGGACTTCCCCCGTTGAAACATTGGGAAACCAACCATCACCCCCCTATTGGTTGATGATTAGTTGGGGATTACCATAATCCGGTGGGAGTCCCGATAAAAAAACATCCTTGGTAAAGCCTAATTATGGTGGCTTTTCGGGACAAAAAAAACGTGTGCCCAAATAATCAGAGTCGCTGAAGTGTTTACTCAAAGATAAAAAGTGAGATGGAAGCAGGTCCTCGCTGGGACGATCAAGAGTACACACATCTAGAGAGTGATCGCTGGTGTTTTCCTGAGTAAACTTCACAAATGTGTTTCAAAATCATACCCCAAAACAGATCCACCCCCTGTTTTGGTCTCTGCACCATCGCTATACCACCTGTGACCCTCAGTTTTTCTTTGGCGAAGCTCCTATTTTGAACCCCAATGTCCTTTTTTGTTGGCTAAAGACACAGGTTGTTGATAAGACTCCTTGCCTTTGACTTAATATGTCAACTTCCTAGTTTCTCTTGGACTGAACAAAAATACCAAAAAATCAAGGCAAAGTAAATAACACCTCAGAATCTGAAGCCATTTCTGTTGGCCAACACGCCCTTTTTCTGTTGGCCAACACGCCCATCTCTGCAAAAAATACCGAGGCGGCGAGCTTCTCCGATTTCAAAGAATACATGGAGAGGCCACATTTGGAGTAGATTTTTTCGTCACGCCGCAAAACGTTTTTTTTTTTTTGCGTGCTTTTAATGGGGATCAGATCCAACGGGTTTCTCCGGAATCAAACCACCAAAAAAATGGGGATTCTGGGGATTTTTTGCACCAACAATGAGGATTGAATCGCCAAGACTGGGGGAGGCCCGGCGAATAAAACTGCGAATTGACATGTGGGTATGAAGGACCCCCTCCACAACCAATAGTTCACGTTTGATAAATGAAGATAGATTTTTCCAGCACGAGAAAAACAAACCGGCCCAGAAGATTTTTGAAACATTTGAGCACATCGTTGCTACATTTTTGTAAGTCCACTTTTCGACTTTCCAGCCCTTAAATTCCAACAGGTCTAACGACAACGTTGGGAATCCTTTCAGTCCTTAAATCCGCGCTAGGTTTGGTCATTCAGCGTCCGGATTCCTGGAATCCCTGAAATGTTCAGCCAAATAATGGAACCAGTGGCAGTAAAAATAGCACAAGCATCACTCAGTTTCATAATTTTCATAGGTGTCGCACTTGTTGGCTTCCAAGATTTTCAAGTCTTGGAGGCATGAGTCGTGCCCATGGGCCATGGGGTATTTCTTTGTTATTTTGTAGAAACCGATAGAAACCGTTGTGGCCATGGGGGATTTAAGACTTCATCTGCATCACAGGATCGGCATGAACATTCAAGATCCCAATTTGTTGGCACGTTCATGACTGACACCAACTGAGCCGACTGACACCAACTGAGCCATTAAAAGTACCCTGGTTTACTGGGGATTATGATGACCCATAGTAGGGAAACCTATCAACCAACTAGTATAATGAGATGGGATAGGGGTATTTTTAATGGCTCAACTTGTATCCCCTTCTCTTTTTGGTTGTATCAAGTTCTATAGACCCAATTCCGGTAGCTTGCATCAAAGTTTCTATATGTTTCCCCTCTTCGTGATCGGAGAAAAGACGTGTTTTTGGCGGGCGATCTCAAAATAGATCCCCACTTTTGGTAGAGTGAGAGGTATCGGACTATTATCCATTTGTGTCGCGGACATCAAATTCGGTGACCTTTCTTGAGAGATATTTTAGGTTCTCCCTCAGCAATGAATAAAGGTCAACAAAGGGTTCCTCAAAATACCATGATCCCCAGATTAGTAGGATTACCCTCTGGTAATTTAACATAGCTATTGAAAATTGCCATTTATAGTTGTTTTTCCCATTAAAAATGGTGATTTTCCATAGTTTTTTGTATGTTTACCAGAGGGTACAGTAGTTTTCCGTAGTTTACCAGAGGGTATACTTGTACTGA